TTTTTTTTTTTTTTTTTTTTTCTAATGCAGCTTTCTCTTCGGAGTATTACTTGTCGCTGGCTGGTTTGAAACGCCTCAAGGGTATTTAGGTGCTTCTTCCGCGCAACAAGTGCTGGATACGCTGAGCCTCCCAAACTGCGAGGTTTCACTTGTGAAAAGACTCTTTTGTCTCAAATTCCATTATCGCACGTTTGATGGCACATGCAACAATCTCTGCAACATTACAACCGGAGCCGCCTTTACACCGCATGATCGGTTCCCAGGCTTAGATCCTCCTACTGCGTATGAACAACCAGGCAACCAACCTCGGCAATTCTCGTCCGTAAGATTTAAAGGCAAGCGCATTCGCCTCCTAAATACGAGGTTTGTTAGCAAGATAGTGTTTGATAACTATCCAGACCGAGCAAGTTTTACCCACATGGTAATGACGTGGGGTCAATTTTTGGACCATGATCTCACGCTCACTGAATTCACTGTGGGGGTCAACCCACAGCTCGATTGTGGCACGAGCCAGGAACCTTGCCCCAGCCTGATTGAAAAACCTTTCTGCTTCGGAGTCAACATCAGCTCCAGGGTAAGGCTATCGGGCGATCCTCTTGCACGGTGTACTCCTCTTGTCAGGTCAGAGCAGAACAGCCACGGCAATCAGGTCAGTTGTTATCCTTGATGACACCGCGGGGGGTGGGGGTACTCCCATATATGGGCGACATGGGTATGTGCAGTTCCAAAGGATATGGTTTTCAGCCTTTTTGGTCATAAATAGAGAATCGATTTTGGCCATGTTGGTCATAAATAGGGTATGGTGTTTGCACACTAGTCTTGAATTGGGTATGTTTTTAGAAGAAGCTTCATCGTTATTGATAAGACCATCGACAAAACCCTTCCGAAATTACGTTTAGAGCAACTGTGCCAGCCGCAACAGTCATCAATAGAATATCGATTTTTTGGTCAGGTCATTTGTAGAGTAGGGAAAATCGAAGATTTTGGTCATAAATAGGGTAAGGGTTTTTAGAAGCGGGACGCACACCCCCACCCAATTTTTCTGGGAGTACCCCAACCCCCCAGGGATGACACGTAGGTCAGTTTCTGATCTTCTGAGATCACACATTTGTCAGTTTATTATTTTTTTTAAATTAAACGCAGGTCATGGTCAACTTTCTTATCATAGATGACAAATAGATCAGTTACTTATTTAATGCTATCATCTATTTAATAATTACACTTATGTGAATGTATCTTTCTCCAATGTAAGTTGTAACAAAGTTCTGACACAGAAAACATCAAAATACATTATTTTGCGTAACATAAGCATGTCATGTTAATTAGTTATCTCTCGTGTTCAGACTTATACTATAAGGGATTAGTGGAAATCGTTGTATATTCAGTTCTAAATAATTCTACAGGTTCCTTGGCTTATAAACAGTTTAGCGTACTTAGCAAAATGAACGGTTGTTTTTCTTATGCTAATTGAACTAAATTTTCCTACGATAGATAAACGAGATAACCGCTTACCTTGATGGATCACAAGTGTACGGCTCAGATCTCGAGACAGCAAAAAGCCTTCGCTTCTTCAAACTGGGACTTTTGATAGTTGAACCTTTCATTAACAGCAGCGACTTACCCATTCTTCCAGCACAGGAGTCTGTGGGCGGTGAAGCAGGCTTCTGTAGATCTAACGATACTGAAACTCAGCCTTGCTTCAGAGCTGGGGATCCTCGAGTGAACGAAAATCAAGGTGGGAGAAATTAGAGACTTAACTTTAAATCATGCTGTTAAGAAATCCGAAACTTAGCAAATCTATCAAGAGCCAGCAGGTGAAGCGAAGCATTCTTAATCAATCAATCAATCAATCAATCAATCAAACCTAAGGTATTAGGCGCTGGTGTTTACAATACACATGCGTCTCCGATTAGGCTTGTCTTTCTACTATGTTCCTATTAAACTATAAGCTGACTAAAGACTTTCTTTCGGTTTCTGACGTTTTCTTTAAGTGCAAGGCCCATCACGTCATGAGTGGCCTTTGAGCTGAACAGGCCACCTTGACGGTAAAAATAAATTTTTACTTTACTTTACTTAAATGCCAACACACCACATGACCACCTAACCATTTTATTCTGTTTTTTGACAGCCTTAATGGCAATGCACGCTCTGTGGGTTCGTGAACACAACCGTATTGCCAAACACCTGTTCACTCTGAATCCATCGTGGAAAGACGAGAAACTCTATCAAGAGGCGCGCCGAATCGTTGGTGCCATGTTACAACACATTACATATAATGAGTGGTTGCCAACACTCATCCCCAGTCAAAGATTGGTAAGACCTGCAAGGAATAACATAATGTAATAATTCATCCTTTCTTTTCTCGTTTAAGCAAAAAATACGTAGATATATATTTATTTACAAGTTCTTTTCAAAGGGTTGACATGGACACACACCAAGGGCTTATCCACAAACTTAAAGGATTGATCCGCCTTTTACAGCAAATGCGTAGGTGATGACATCACCGTAGTGATGACCCTTAGAATACGTGCAAAGTACAGTTAACTTCGCTTCGCGAGGATTGCTTTCCTTCGGCAAAGTTATAAAGCGATTGATTCATGCCTCTAGCTGTGCATCAGCAACTTATGATGCAGTTCAGTGTAACGTATAGAAAGTACTCAAGACGCTAAGCTAGTCTTCTTCGGGCAATTCGTACGCTTCTTTCCTGCTCTAGCGCTCTCCAAACTTCGTGCGTGCATCATATCTCGGCGAAACACGCTAAAGCATGAATCAATTGCTGACTTTTTATTTTGATCCGGGGCGCTCCAAGTGAATGGATATTTGCTATCAGCAGTACACCGTATAATCTAAGAGATTCTGAGATCAAACTAGACTTTCCCAAGCCGCGCAAACTGCAAGCGTGGCTTTCACCTATAGCGGGGCGCTATTATGGAATGACCAGCCCGTCTAATTACGGAAATTAGACTTTCATGGACACTTTAAAAGGGAAATTGGCCAACTTGACAACAACTGTCAGCCAGACTCCCACACGGCAATCTTGTAAAACAGTGCAGTGTAGTTATAATTCGACCGTCTTTTGTTTCAGAGACGAAAAGCAGGAGTTGCGCTGGAGGCCGATGGAACATTCTCCAACGATTACGCTCCGGAAATAAATTCTACAATTATCAACTCGTTCGCCACGGCTGGCTTAAGAATAGGCCACACTTTAATTCGGGAGAACTTTACAGTGTCGAGTGGAGTTGATCTCATTGACCAGCTATCCCAATCTCCAGTCGATTTTTTTAACCCAGGACCGCTCAATGATCCAAACTTAGGAGTCAATCCTTATACAGGTCTTTATCTCGGATTGGCTGGAATAAGAGCTGGCGAATTTGATCGGTATGTATTTTGCTATGTTTTGTGAGTCAAAATAAACTGACTGACAATCGGAAAGCAAGAACTTCATTTATCGATTGTCTTTCACCCATGGAGGCAGTGTGGCCGAGTGGTCAGCGTGTCCGCCTCGCAATCCAGCGGTCCCGGGTACGATTCCCGCTCTGACCACTACCTGGATTTGTTTCACGGTAGCCCCGCGTTCAAATCCTCGGCCACGCTTGTAAAAAGCTGACTGGTTTGCCTCCGGCCAGTTGGGATTCTTAACAATGTTACATGTATGTTCAATTTAAATTATTTATTTCAGTTGTTTGCTTGGCCCCACTAACCTTTGTGGTATAAGCACTGCCTAGGGTAAATAACGGTTATTTATTTTACTTACATTGCACAAACACCTCGATGGCATGAACCGCAATCTAATATCGAAGTAATTGTAGGACTTTTTAGGTTACAATTTATTCGACACACATATATGCGTTAATATTTCAGGGAGAAATACTAACAAGAGAACTGAAGTGAGGGTGATTTAAATGTAATATAGTGCTTCTTAAAAAGATGTTCTAAAAGACACCATATCTCCAAAGTACAAAATATCTATCAGTTGTTAGTAGAATTCTACTAGTATACTAATGCAAATTCTGCAATTTGATTGGCTGAGCTACTCGTACACTATCAGCCATTAAAGTTCACCACTAAATTTTCTCCAATTCTTATTGGCTTACTAATTGATCACGTGACGCGATAGTGTTCATCCGCGGAGAGACATTATCAGCCCATAGTGCCCGTAAGAGGAAAATACCCGGATAAATAGTACTCGTCCGTGAAAATATTTCCGTAAAGAAGCGGGCTTACAGAAAGTAAACAACTGAAATGTGTTAAGTGGGTTTTTGCCTATTTTCTTTTTCAAATTTTACATTTGGCTTTAACGATCTTTCACGGCTTTCATCGAAAAAAAGTTGAAATAATTCAATATGAATTTTGAGTTGGCGCGCGGAAGAAAATTTAGTGGTGAACAATAAAGACAATAGAGTGTTTATGTCTCTAAACTATCGGCCTGATAGTTGTCCCTTGGAAATTTGATGTTCTTAACACCAGCATATTTGTTACAAGAACATCAAATTTCCGCGGGACAACTATCAGCTGATAGTTCCTCGACAAAAACACTCTATTGTTTAATTAGAGTGCAGTGGCTATCGGTCGTTTACGAAATGGGGACGTTTTTTCGTTTTCCCGAAGTCTTTAAGGAAAGTTTAGATCCCAATGGATAATGTAATTCCTGAGAAGACTAAAAGAAGGACATTAACGGTTTCTTGACTTTAAAAACTTGAAATTATTGACAAAATTATGCGCGGGCTCACACAACTTCAATTTTAAATGGCATTTCAATCCGAGCGATCTTTTAAAGGCGCAAAGTTCAAAATACTTCGAGAAGTAATAGAAAACCGTTAATTGAAGTCAATTGCAGTTAGAACTCTACTAAAACTATTAGATTATTCGCTCTCGATTTTCTATGAGGTGATTCGGCCTTTGGCTACGTCAACTATCACTTCTTAATAGAGATCTCGAGCTCATAATCTAACTGTTAATTAGAAAAGAGTGATCGCAAACTATTCAAAATACCGACAGCTACCATCCTTTACTCCCTTTGCTACCACGAGTAAAAGAATCGTCAACCAGGCTACGATGTAATAGCAGCCAGCTCCCAAAATACACACTGAATGTTTAAACTATAAATTACAATACAGTATTACCCTTTTATCAATTTTCCCCTTTTTTAACCTGAAAATCGCTTTTTAGATAAATTTATAATCATTTTCTCTTTTCTCGATTGCAACATTTCTTATTAATTGCGTCCTGACCGAGAGCCAAATATTTTCCCATCCGGCCGACCTCACCAAGTCAATACTCACCGTTTTACCATATAACCAGAGTTTTGATTTTTTGCTTTTTTTATTATTATTTTTTGCGAACGTCTTCAGTTGTGAGGGTGTTTATTTTCTTTCTGCGCTTTCGGAACAAGTTGCCGACAGAATAGTTCTGCATCGGAGTACTCGCCCTTATAGTAAATGATTTTGCGAGGCCGTACCCGTAAATTAGGTTATTTTGAAAACAGCTACTTTTGAAAGGACATCAACCTCCAGGCTCGATTTCTGCCGCTCTCTCGAGTCTAGTCTGAAGTCCGGTCTTGTATCAGAGAAGGCGCGCGGGCTCCTTTTCCGAACAACGGTTGGTAATGGCGCCTAATCCAACTCATTAGTAGATTTGTTTCAAAACTATATCTAAAAAGCAAGTTCCGGCCCGCATGCTCAACGTTGTCCAAACAGTTAAAAGAGATCCTCCAAAAACTCGTATTTGGCAATAATTATTGATTTTCTTTCTCGTAGGAACATTGCTGATGCCGTGCGGGAACGTCTCATTATTCCAGGGCCAGACGGTGGGTTTTTTGGTGATCTTGCTGCTATAAACATGCAGCGTGGACGAGATCATGGCTTACCAGGGTATATCCAGTTTTCAACACTTTGTGGTGGTCCCGTGGCTAGAGGATACAACTTTAATGGTCTTAAAAATATACTCTCTAGTCAGCGGCGAAGACTGGCTAGAGCCTACAAAACTGTGGAGGACATTGATTTATTTGCGGGATTGTTGAGTGAACGAAATCTACGCGGGAGTGAGCTTGGACTAACCACCACCTGTCTGATGCTCGCGCAGTTCAGCAGAACGCGCCGTGGTGATCGCTTCTGGTACGAGAGAAACGACACTCTCACAGGGTTTACCATAGAACAACTGACCGAGATAAGAAAGGCCTCTCTAGCTCGAGTGATATGTGACAACTCAGACGATGTGACCACTATTCAGCCCGAGGTTTTCAAGCGAAGCATTATCCATAGCCCAAATGATGATGTGCCCTGCCGTCATCTGCCTTTTGTCAACCTGAATGTTTTCAAAGAGAGTAAGTACTTTTTTCTATTTGCTCTGGGCATTCTGGGCATTCTGGGCATTCTAATGAGGTGGAAAAAGGAGTCCTTTTACCTTTACTCTGGCAGTAAACATTCCATCAAACTTGTGTTAAAACGCAGCAAAGTTTCTGCCGTCTTATGAAACTTAGGAGTTTACAATCTTGGACGTAATGTGGAGCGTCTTCTAAATGGTCGACAGTAATTTAGAAGTAGAAATTCAAAGGAATCGCCCGCATCGCTCGTCATTAATTTCCCTCCCCCAGATGTAACCAAGAATCGAAATGTGGGGGAAATGAGCTACAATAGTTGAGACAGACTTTAGGCTCGTGGAAAGAAAAAGGCAGCTGCAATATTTTTTTCTGCTCACTTTCCGCGCTGTCAATCATCAATGACAAGCAACATTGCAAAATTCTAGGAAAGATGGCGATAGCTTATAATGCAGAACAAGTACGAAGTGAAATATTGATTTGTTATTTCTTGATTGCTAGGTGCCAAATATTCCGGTGCTCCTAAGTTTTCCCGGAGTGGTGGTTTTGGCGGAAATGTCGCTGCTTGAAGTATTCCCAGGGATCCATTCTTGAATTTGTGCCATGCAAGTTTTTGTTTTAGTTAGTCAAAAACGATGTAGTTGATGTTAATATTAAATGTAACACAGCTAAGTTAAAGCCTCCCGTGGCTGTAAGAGTAACCTGCGATCATACCCTCCCTTCCTTATATTCAGACGTGGGGGTTACTGTAAGGGTTACTAGTTAAACAATACTATATTTAATAAGGGATTAAATTGCCTTATTAGTCAATAAGTATAAGAAGTCATCAATTGTAATCAATTGATCCTTCCTTTAAGCTTTTTTAGGAAACGTACGTAAGATAAATTGGGCCTCGGGTGGTGGGCAATCTTCGGGAAAAAAATCGGAAATTTATATACGATGGCCTTTTAAAATAATTCATTAATCTTCGTACGTCCTTGGGTAGACCTTCAGTCGTTTCTGGTCAGGTTTGACAGTCTTGAAAAATTCATTTATACCTCAGAATCTTCAGACGTCTTATACCAACTTTAGAGTTCAAGTTGGAGGATTTTCAACACACATACATTGAGTACAAATGTCGTCCCTTATATGTAGCCACTCCTTATTCAGTAATTATATATATACTCCGAACTGAATGCAGTAAGCTTCAGTAATTTCAACCTCTGCGTTATAGAGGAAGGACAAGTTCTATTTACATAGTTTTGCTTTGCAAGTTTTAATACTTAGTTTTTGAATGTTAATCTAATAACGAAACTTGTCAGATAACTCTATGGAAGTGGGAATAAAATTTAGCAACTTAATATTGAGAGTTCTTTTCTGTTTGAACATGCATGAGTTACCATGGTATTAAGAAGAAGAAGCGAAAAATCGCTAATTTGGCAATGTTTCAGCAAATTAAGCGGTCAGACATCAAGGTCGTTGTAGGTTGTTTACTCAGAAAAGGCTCACAAAAGTGGGGTCACCGGCACCCCAGGAACTCTCCTCCCTCCCAGCTATGTCCCTGATCTATGAGATGATCATCTTGCGTAATAGCGGTCATGGTGAAATTAAAATATAAGAGTTTGTATGGGAATATTTCGGATCGGTTTTAGGAAGTAAAAATACTGTCAAGTGCTTCATAAAATTACCTCACCTTACTTCCACAGTCAGTGTGAAGCTTGATACAACCGGTGGCGTAAAACCACATGACAATCTGGTGGGTACCCTTACTTTGACATAGTGTGACCCCCCTTTGAAAAATCCTGGCTACGCTCCTGTAGATGGAACTTGGGTCGCCTGTGCCAGGAAAGTGGCAGGAACTTCTAACCTAAGTAATCGCCATAACTTCCCTACTTGCATGTTTTAGCACAGTCTAAAAGAACCCTATAGTCTTGTTGACCTTTGTTGGGTCGCGCGTATTTAGAAGCCGTAATTTTATGGCTGCGAAGAGAAAGGTACTGGTATGTGTATCACCGGGATTTTTTTCTGAATTCTTCCTGTGGGAATGGGATTTGAGCACTGGGAAGTGGAATTTGAGAGCAAAATGGTCTGGGTTTGCTTCCCCTCACCCCTATTAGAGTTGGAACGTGGCCTACCATATCAAGCTCCCCATATCAGACCCCAACAAACAATACGAGACCCCAACCTACCATATCAGACCCCCGGGGGGCGGTGCTTTAGGAATTTCTGGGTGGGGATATGCCGCTGGGACCCTGGAACCCTCAGCCTATACCAGAGCTAGTTCAGCTGAATTTTGCTACCCTATACTAGAGTAAACTCCCCAAATCCCCCCATCTATCAACACTGTCGAGGCTGATTTGCGTAAATTTAAACTTGC